CTTCAACATGGAGCGACCGTTAGTGTGACGTCACCTCGTTTAGTCATTCTGATTTAAATGGGTTTGTTCGTTGAAAAATCGCTTAAAACTTGGTCTGAACTTTGTTGTGGTGCCTACAGAGTAAAAAGAATCAGCTTTATGACAGTAATGTGGCCTGGGGAAGGAGGTAATTTTGGGCTGTGACGTCACATATTTGAAAGTTTGTGTTTGGAATATGGGAAGCCTAAGATGTTTAATGGAAAATAAATGCCAGAACCGTGTTCCTGGTCATCCAATCTATAAAGTCGGGCACAATTTAACTGGTTTTAACAACATCTTAGAAGGTGGGATAGTCCAGTCATTTGGCAATTATCCAGTGTACGGTAGTAGGGTAGCCTGGGGCAAGACGCCCCAGATAATTTATTTTGCTACATAACTTTTGTCCCACATCACCTGGAAGGCCAAATTTGTGCTCAATGCGTTCTTTGGACATTTTACTTTAAATTCCACCCCTCAAATTCATTCACTTATGATCGGACTCCCAGCTAGGAAGTGGTTTGTGAAGCAACTGCAAATAGGGCGTTTTGCCCCAACCCCAGGGCAAAACGCCCCAAGGCCTGGGGCAAGAAGCCCCATACTCTAGATTAAAGATTAAACATGCTAGTTGACTAAATCTTATATGAGAGGTCCTTTAGACCTTGGGAGGCACGGCTCTGAAGTTAGCACCTTCCATCCTATCAGGTGTTCAGCTACGACACTATTGTATGAGCAGGTTTTTCACCTGCCACATAAGGCCAAATAATAAATTATTGCAATGCAAATGTTAACAAAATACTTCCTTTGCCATCCAGCTGCTGAGAAAAGTACATATAAATGCATAGAAACATACCGTTCGCCAGCTACCGAACATTAGGAAGTGGGTAGTCCGAACAACACATGAGGTAAAACGCCCCATGGGGCTTTTTGCCCCGCGACCTACTGGGGCGTTTTACCCCATCACGTAGTTCGGTCAGAGAACAACGCCTTGCACTCCAGGAAGACATAATTTAACACGAACCAACCCGGCATTATAAGCGTTAGACAATAGTTGTTCAAAATACATAAAATTCGTTAACCTGATGTGGACGATAAAAGAACGCATGATGCATAATCTGACAACAAAACATAAAAATCACTCCAAAAACACATTTTTGGCTATATCTTCCTAAAGAGTCATCACAATTTCTTTCCAGTCTGCTCATATAATGATCGTATAGTGCACGTTTTATAGAAGAGAGGATGTTTCCCCAGAACCTTGCCAGTTGTGAGAAACATCGGTGAGGCGTTTTACCTCGGCGGGGCGACTTGCCCCGGTCTACCCTAATAGTATACCTACATTACTGCCCTGGGACCGGGAAAATCCTTTATATTATTTAATTTTTTTTGTGGGCGACCCTATAATAGTAACTAGACCAAGTAGACCTAGTAACAGGTATCATGGCTCGAGGGGCACTACGAACAAAAACCTATGAAACGCTACGCCGTTATGACGCAGTAGAAAAACAACTTTGCAAATAACAAGGCTGAAACACACCATGCATGCAGCCGTGAATTACAAGCTGTGAAATCAAGTGAAATTTTTCACTCGTCCAAATGACGAACACAAGGTCGGGAAAAACACTTTTAACCATCATTATTAAGGTTGCTTATGTTTGCCAAAGGAAAATTAGCAACATGGTTGCAAAGAATCATGGCATACCTACTGATAAGCTTTTGATAAATGATTACTTTTGTTTTCATTTGTTAAATCAACCTGCATAATGTGTATATGTTACGGCCCGTTTGAAAACCCGGCCCATATTAATGCTGCCCGGCCCGCATTAATACTGACCGGAGACCTGGCCCGTATTAATACGGGCCGGTCAGCATTAATGCGGGCCGCCTTGCCGGTCGGTATTAATGCGGCCGATTTAGGTGGGCAGTATAAATGCTGCCCACCTTTTATTTCAAAACTTATCTGTCTGCTGCAAAATCAATAACATTAGCATGTCTTTATAGACGGCGGCTTACTGATAAAAGTTGAACACCATGTGTAAATATTCGCCAACCCCGCTTCGAACCCACAACCATTCGATTACAAGACCGGAACATATACCCCGAGACTAGCGAACAGATCGAAAGGCAGTGAATTGGGCAAGCAGTTCAAACTAGTGCTCGGCAATGATATGGAATAAAACGTGCTCGAGAAAATAGATGCTATTATACGTGATAAACCCGCGCCCCGCTGGGGGGGGGGGGGGGCAGAATCTGCCCCCCCTCCCGTTTTTCGCCAATAACTTCTAAACGCGTTACGCCAGCGACGTCAAACTTTCGGTACCTTATCATACATCAATTTGACACGTTCCCTAAAAAATTTGAGCGAAATCCGTCGGAAATTTTTTGAGAAATTGACGTTTTAGTGACGTCATGTTCGCCATTTTCGCCTCAAAAACGGCAAAATTTCAAACGCCGCTAACATCTTCATTTTAAAAGAAATCAGGACGTAACAAGGTTATGCGTCATTCCACTTTGTCTATCAAATGGCTATCTCGGTTTTTTGAAAATTTTGGATTTTGGCCCAATTTTTTTTCTAAAAAAAATGACTTTTTTGGGAAAATAATTATAAAATCCAAAATTTTGAGTGTATAAAAAAACGGAATATATGTCAGAGAAGTGGTCTATGTGCACCTACATACCAATTTTTAGAAGAATCGGTTCAAAAATGTGGGAGTTATTCAAAATTTTATGACGTCACGACACACAAAAATTTTGAAAACTGATTTTTTGGAAGTTCTAGACCTCGTACGGAAACAAAAATAGCACCATTCGATTCGCCGTGAAAAACTGCATCAGATAGACACTTTTTTGGCCTTAAAAACCAACTTCAAAATTTGACCTCACTTGACCTGACCTTGACCTGACCTCGACCTGAAATTCATCCAGAGGTGGTCCATATCACTTATTGAGTGTGCCTATTGAATTCTATGAGTAAAGTGACCCATAAAACATTTGTCGCACATGCCCTTTACTATATTTTGTTTTTGGTGACCTGACCTGACGTGACATGACCTTGACCTTGACCTTTGAATGACATTGTATGCAACGAATATTGTCTTGGTAGTCTAAGAACACGTTTTGGGCAATCAGTCTCAGTCCATTCTTCGGCAACTACGGTGCAAGGCCGATACTGTAGAAACTTGCATTTTGTACCCTTGACCTGACCTTGACCTGACCTCTGACCTACTTAAGCAAAAAAATTTGGGCTCTTAAGATCTGCCTTGTTGAGAGCTTTCGATTGCCGTTTTCCCCGTCTTTCTACGACCATCGGTTCGGAAGTTAGACAGGGGGGGGGGGCAGAATCTCCCCCCCCCCCCAGCAGGGCGCGTATGGCTGAATAGCCCAGCGGGGCGCGGGTTAAAATAGTTCAAAACACCATTTAGAGAAAACAAACGAGGGTTTATCATAATTTTGTAGAGACAACCAGCAATATTCATCTAGACGTTGACCAGGGTAATAAAAGCAGGTCTAACACATCGCCCAAGGTCACCTCAGGGAGTGCCGACACTGCCGCGCGCCCATTTCTTCCATTACCGCTGGAGGACCGACAGTGAGTATCAGCGTATCACGCATCTGTTTCATTATCTGATCTTAATAACTAGTGATCATAAAGAGTATGGCAACTTCATTTTGAAAATGTCATAATTCGAGGACTTGAGCACTGATTTCCACTTAACCCTCGCACTTACATCGCAAAAAGCCATAAAAAGCCATGGGGGGTGGGGTCGAACGGACCCCCCCTCGTTTTTTTGCGAATAACTCGCGTAAAAAACGGCCGATCGCGACGAAACTTTCAGTACCCTCGAGTTATTCAATTTTACACCTGCTCTAAAATTTCATGACCCTAACCCAAGTGACCTTTAACCTGTGACCTGATCCTCGAGACCATGTTTGGCCGGAATCGCAATTCAGCGTATGTTGGCTCATATTATCTGCGTGTTTCTAGTCTTGTTGTGGTTTTAAACACTGGAACATGTAAAATGATGTTGTACCAATGCATTATGGTGGGTGTCAATGTCATGTATGGTGTAAGGTCAAGGTATGGTGGGTCTATACGCTGAAGATACCACGAAACAAATATTTACTAGCCAACAGTCAAAAAGTATAAAAGACATTTAAGACCACTGCAGGCCTACGCAGCATTTGCTAAGACATGGAATAGAGACTAGTTGGCTAGTTTTGATATGGCCCGAGTTTTCATATGGCCGTGAGGAAAAAAGTGGGCTGTATTAATACTGCCCGGTCCGTATTAATGCTGCCCGCCAGGCGGCCCGCATTAATGCTGACCGGGGGCCGTATTAATACGGGCCAGGTCTCCGGTCAGTATTAATGCGGGCCGGGCAGCATTAATACAGGCCGGGTTTTCAAACGGGCCGTAACATATACACTGGCTTGCAAACAACGAAGTACTCGGTCTGTACCGAAGTTCCATCCCCATTGAGTTGTGGGCTGTCAAAGAGTCGTCCCCCCCCGAAGTCCGGGGCGTCCGGCTGACAGCACCCTCCCCTCCCCACGACTGTCAGCCGCGCAGTCACGACGGTGACAGTGCGCGGTAACTTGTCACGGTGACAGTCGGCGGTAGCCTGTCACCGTTCCGTCGCTCGGTGCCTCGTGGGGCCAGCCAGGGTCGCCAGATGCCCATAGAAGTTCAACTGAGAGCTGAACGAATAGATATAAGGATGGAATGGGCAGAGTGAGCGCACAGGGTGTAGAATAGTTGGCGGCAGGTGGTGCGAGTTTCGGAGCCTGGTGAGTAAAAAGATGATTGGTGTCAGATGTGTACCTACTTGAGACCCAGCAATTCATTTTTTACGATATGCACTTATGCATTACGCGAAACTAGCTCAAATGATGCCAATTACCAGCTGTGAGAAATAAGCCCCCAGAAATAAAAAAAATGTTGCAGGCTGTTTTATTACCCGAATTCAATGCTTCAAACACTCACACTCAAACATCTCCTTGTATTTGATGGAGCTGCACACGGCGCTGACACAGGTCGCGCCCACATCAGGTCGCACAGGAGCGGTGAGTTCGCAGAACCCTCGCACCACCGCTGAGACACGCGCCGCACTGACAGCCGTACGTACCGGTGCGTACGGAGCAACGAACTGCAATCGGCCCCACTCCGGGCCGCGGCGACAGTGGTTCGACACGCCGCGCGCACGTGCGTTCGAGCTCACGACGAGCCCACCGCGGGTTCGACACGCCGCGCGCACGTGCGTTCGAGCTCACGACGAGCCCACCGCGGAATATGGAGCCGAGGTGCCACCACGGGACCGCCAGAGACGCAGTGTGCGCGGCGGTGGCCGTCAGAGGCGCGATAAACCCGCGCAGGTGGCACAAGTCGGACGGCCCAGCTACACACAGCAGCCGCGGACGAGGGAGAAGTGTTGCAGCGCGGCTAAAGACAGTCTGCCGTCCGCAGTGGCACCAGCACAGTTTGGCAGTCACCAGCCGCCGGCCAGCACATCGGTAGGCACATCAAAATCGTATCAAACGACCTCTCGAGCGACCTGTAGCATTCGACACTCGGCAACGGCTTAGCATAAATCAGCAACTCAGACAATGCAGCGAAACGCAGGAATTCAATGAAAGACAACATAAAACCGCCGTGGATTCATTATTGGCGCTGGACCGACCACACCGACAAGATTGATAGTTTTTAGCAAACATGTCGTCATTACAATTCAACCACTTACGATCAGATTATTACTTCTACACCAGGTTTACTTAGGACACTGTCTCACACCTGCGCATAAATAGGTTCAAAAAGCTCTTCGTTCAGCTATGTAAACAGTCATGCGAACGAACCTGTCGTACCAGCCCCGATTACAATATAAAGTACACCTACGTCCTACACTTTCCGTTCAACGATATACACATCCACTAGAAGTCACCTCTGCTTCTTTACCATTTTCAGCAGGATCGTTCAAAACGTACAGACTCCTCAAAAACCGTCCACAAATAAGGCTGGCAAGTAAAACAGTCAGGCGCCCGTCGGTAGCCGGCGGCCCACCTGCCAACGCCCGGGGAGCGCCCACGCCCACACCGGCCTGACAGGCGCGCTCGGGGTTGGCTCGTCCTAGTCGTCCGGCCTTCGGGCCGTTTCCACTCGCCACACGTCGAAACGAGCGCAACCGTTGGCAGATAGCTTCAATTCGAGCAGAACGCTTCGGTTGGTAGATCGCCGCAGTGCGAGCAGAGCACCGAGGTTGGCTCACCACTCAAACATGACAAACTCTAGCGGGACAGAGCAATCTTTGGCAGATCATTCCGATTCGAGCAGTGCACCAGGGTTGACAGACTGCCCCGATGCGAGCACAGAGCCGCGGCTAGTGGTTCACTTTTCAATCATTATCCTCCACACCAGTCATCCTGAGCCAAAACAGAAACAGGACTCTCGCAAGGAAGTGTCATGTCACCAGCACTGTTTGTAGTTCACACCAGTCGAACGATGACAGAGTTTATTGGCTATGACTATCTTCTCTCGGAGGTTCTGTGTACTTTATCATCATCTCAGGCGACCGGTAGAGGAATATTAACTTCGCGAATAGTTCCTCTTCCAGTGCCAAGTTGCCTCTTTCTCGTACTAAGTATATATCCTCGCATATCTGAAAATCACAAAGAGCGTGCATGTGACGAAAGAGAACAGAGGCATACAGGAGCGCACAGAAGACAAGCTGTTATTCTAGGAGCGTTTGTGACCTCCCAAATCAGTCGCGACATTTTACAGCAAAAAAAAAAAGAGCAGCTGGCAACTTCGCTCTTACCACAAGATTCTGATATTTATCTTTCAGGTGCGAAAAATTATGCGAAAATTTCACAAAAAAGCTCTCAAGACAATTATCAAAGATGCATGGAAGCAGACTTCACTACTTTTATACTCAAGCGCACCCTGTTTTATGCTAATTCGCCGAAGACAATAGACGAGGACAACAAATAATAGACTGTATCCGTCATTGGGCAACTGTTGCTGCTTTTATGATTATCAAGAACAAAGTTATCTATAAAAGTGCATTCGGACATTAAAGCAACCGCAACGACACAGGAACAGACAAATATAAATTGCAATCCTCGTCAGGCTACGGTGCACGAGCGGAATTCGAACTCGGCTCATGACGTATGACCTTTTTATGAACACATTTCTATTTCACATATCACTCAGGCAACATCACACTGTCACATACCCACAGCTCTATATCCATAGCATATATATAGACCCATCTTTAGCTTTCAGCTCCTATCGGTGTCATTACATCGTACTTCGTTTCTAAAAAACAGGCACTATAAAAGCTACAAAACATGCGTACTATACGGCCACACTTATCCCTCCGTGCACGATTGGCATCCAACCTAGATTCATAAGCAGGAACTACTGTTCCCGCCCCGGCCTCTGCCCCCGCCACCTCGCAGCTTGGTGAGGCTATCCATGCGAAGCGGCGCCCCTGACCACCGACCCGTCAAGCGAGCCGCCCACAATGCTGGCAGATGATCCGTGTGAGAGGCAGGCGCGGCGGCCCGGCCCGACAGCATATGTATGCTGGGAGGCCGGGCACGGGTTGGCCCGGATGGGTAGGGAGGGGATGAGCGAATGACCTTGCTGACTTGCAGAGTTCGGTCCATGAATCCTAGCCCCGTAGACACTGCAACTATAAACTAACCTGCAGTATTCGATCCACGTAGGGCAGTTCGTCGAACATTATATGGTAGGAGATGTCAACGAACGGGGTCCGGCACAGGCGGCCGATGACCAGCACGAAGGTGGTGTATGAACCGATGATGCTGCGGGCACAGACGAGAGACCGGTCAGCGGTTATGACGGTGGACGAGGTTAGCGTATCGACTCATCTGCAGGTAAATTATCACGCCACGTCTCATGCGGTAGATAATATATGTAAATACTGAAAGGGGACAGAAACATAAAAAGGCGTTTTCGGAAGAAAGTCGAGTAAGAATTTGTAAGAATTAGGGGCATCGGCGAGAGGATCACATGCGAGTATCGGTGAGACCGGTGATCTATCTGCGTTTTTTTATATGAGACCTATCACCGGCGAGATGATGACATGGTTCGGTGTGAACCAGGCTCTGAGAAGTCCGGCTCACTACACACAGATGGTCGTGAACGCCGGTAGTCGGTAGTCAGAACAGTCCCATCAGCGGAATCCTTTTCGAATCTACCCTTTGGCATATCCACCTTTGGTATACTCGACTTTCATAAACAACCAGACGGGCGCAAAATTATCAAACTATTTATAAGAACACGCTGAGAGTATAAACATGTAGTTTGGGCGGCTGGTTACAGCTTGCTGTGCAAAATGCATGCTTAATAAAACATATATATCTCAGACGCTGTGTAGAATACGTTTTTCACTGTTGTTTTGTTCGTGTAACGACGCTATCCATGCCGGCAGTGTATAACTTTTTCGAACTGTCAATCAACCTCTCCCATCCGCCAAAGAAAGGTGTGGCTCGAAGGTGTGAAATTCCGTGCTCAAGTTCCTCCTGGCCACGTCACGTCGCAGACAACGCCACCGTATCCGGGCGCATTGAGAACCAGAGCCGCCTTCTTGTAAGCGGAGACGGCCGCCGCGGACCCCGCCGTACCGGCCGGCCCCTCGCACACGCCGCGCCGGCAGACGTCATCAGAGACCCCGGCGTCACCGGATACTGGGCGCGTCATCTAACGGGCGTCACTTACTGATGACGCGTGACGAACCGCTTAGCTGGCACGCGCCATGACGTCACCCATGAGAGCGACGTCATACATGAGAGCGACGTCACATGACAACGACGCTCACGGCACGGCGGAGCGAATGGAGATGAGCTCAGGGCTACACTGAGCCCTGAGCAGTGAGCAGGCTTACCTATCTATGTCTGAACCGGTCGGGGGTAGGGGTACGGATGTCTGGAGCGCTCCGACCGGACAAAACAGGTGTGGCCCATCTGATAAACCATCCTGCATCTGCCATCGCGCGTCCGTGATTGCAACATGGATACAACTGCCAGACATTCATGGAGTTCAGGCGGATAAAAACAGCCCTTCGAGTGGATATATGTGAAGCGAATATAAACAGAGGGAGTGCCGGGAGCTATTTATAGGCTGGTTTACAATTCAAAAGCAGCTGCTAGGTCACTCATGCGGCAAACCCTGTTGCGAGGGTATGCCGGCCATATAGTCGAGCGTCATGTACCTAATGACCCCGTCAGAGTGTATATGATTGATCCGGTCGTTGCATTCTGGCATCTATACGGGTGCCATCAACGTCTAGAAAACATTCAGCTTATTTACAAGTCAGCGTTTAAGAACTGGAAGTCAGAATCTGGTTCAGAGTATCATTACAAAGATGAAGTGCAGCAGCTACCAAATCAAAACACATCCGTGCCGCGTGCCCAGAAAAGGACGTCACTATTTTTAGCCGACATGTGACATAAAACACGTGGGTCACTGATGCCAAATTTAGAACCTGGGTACGATGGGGTCACCGAGACATTGCACAAGACGTACCTATAACGTTGATGTATCGAAGTGAATTGTTTTCCTCGATCGGCACCGTTGGAACTGATAAGAAGTGTGTATCATATCGTGCATGATATACCGAGCTAAATGATAAATCCCTTGTTTTGTTTTGTTGTGTTGATAAAGCCCTTGTTTAGTGCGAACATTCAGAAATCCCGCAACTAAACCATTATTCGTATCCAGACTCACGGTGCGATACATAATACAGATACGGCGCGATACTATACAATTTACGGGAAAAGTTAATATGCCTATCAGCGCTTATATGAGTCAGCGTCCACCAACAACCGACTGATATCATTTCGGAAGCATCCCGCATAAATTCTTCACTAATTGACAACGCAAGACTTAAAAACAAATTAACCATATTACATAGGTACAGCATTTTGACTAGAAAGCTTCTCGCTAAACACTTTTTCGTAAAGAGCATAATGCAGTGCACTGCAACGCATGTTGCAGAGCACTGAGTCCTATGACACAATGGCTGGTTTGCACCGCAAGTCCACCTGATGCTATTCCTGGTCGGGCATTCCTTGAGTCATTTTCATATGGGAATATTGTCTGATGACTGATGCATGTAACGGACTACTATGTCAAACACAGCCGCTTTGGATATCCGCTCAGGAATCGTGCACACTGACGAAGTTCCTTGTAAGCGCCCCATTGCGTATTCCTGTATGTTACGAATTTCCTTGGAAGCGTCCCATTGCGTATTCCTTTTCCATCAAAGCAGTACCAATCACATGTCGCAGCTGCTGGGGGTCCTCGGCTGGCTTAAAGCTACAGCGAGCTCATAAAGCACCACACTCTGTAGCTCGTCCTAAAGTACGGCGCATGAGTGAGCCGGAGACACTTGCTAGTGTTTTCGCTGTTTTTGCTAACACCCATTTGAAAATAAGCACGTATAATTGCTGACCTCACATCTGTATGAAGCTTCAAAATTCCCCAGTTAATCGGTAAGTTGCAAATACTTACATGAATATTAATATGAATACCCCAGCCATCGCGTCTTACGGCCACCCACGCTGGGCTTTTCACGTGAGACGGTCGACCGGGCGGAAAATGAGTGACTCTTCTCGCCTTTTACCGGGGATAGCCGGCCGCACCATAAAGGATATAAGCTGCGAAAGCTGCAGAGCCCCGCCGATATCCGGTTCATCCCGTTAGATGTGGGACGAGTTGAAGGGTCAGTCTCGCCGCTCTAGGCGACCTGGGGTCGACCAAAGCAGGATCGACCCGACAGACCGGCTGCAGCCATAACCTCCGTGCGCACCCGCGGGGATTTGACACTAGCCATGCAACACTGCTAGGGGTAAACATGCCTGGTGTTCGAACTGTCAGCAGGCGTTGCGCCTCCGGTCACCCCTTGGCCGTCGCTAGGTCCATCCTTTACGTAACGACCAAGACGCGGTTAACGGCGTGCGTCACGACTAGCCGACAGCGCCTGTCACGGTCAGGTCACCTCGCGCATCACGGTCAGGTCACCTCGTCACTAGCCGTCATGAACCGTTCGTGACGCGTCGGACGGCATATGTGACGTCAGAGACGCGGCGCGCTGACACTGCAGATGATCAGCTGGCTCGTCAAACAGCTGACCGGTCAGGAGACGCTCCGGACTATATGACCGGAAGGAAATAGCCCCGGGCTATGCGACCCCAGGTCATTTAACCAGACGGGAACGGCCGCTGGCTATAGATCCATCAAAAAGCGACAGGAGGCGTTGAGCTTTGGTTCGCTTTTGAACACAAAACTGCATTTCTTAGTAGCGGTTAGACACATTCAAAATATACCCGATGAAACTGTTGTCTACTGAGAGCTTCTCTAAATCAGTTTACGTTATAGTGGCAATGTGCCTTAAAGCGATCCCTGAAGAGCAAAAGAAGAAACTAACTAAAAGTTCGGTTACACTCACAGCATCATCAGCAGGATCCGTTCATCAGCGGCACGGGGAGCGCCGTTTCTTAATTCGGCCCGCTGTTACCGGTAAGCACCGTATCACGACAGCCGATTGCAAGAGATCCTGTTTTCGTGGGCCAGTCGTACAGATAACCGGCTCCAAAAATTTCCCCAGCAAAAGAAGGGACATGCAATGGTTTACATTTCGAATGATTTTTTCCTCGATAATTGTGTAAATCTCAATAAACTGTAAATATCATATTTGATTGGCAGATTCTTTAACAACAGTTCACTATCAAGCCATTTCGAAAATTGACGTAGAGTTTCCGTACAATTTCGTCTAGGGACACGCATATCAACCCAGCTATTTGAAGCGCAGTTTTTACGACAATACGATAGGCCCAACTAAACAGCTGGCTTTCAAACAAATATGAAAAGGTAAATGACCGCGGAACGAAGTAACAGGACCTAGTCATCATCGAACAGGAACAATCGATGATAGCTGGCAAAACACGTTTGCCTGGGGTAACTCTACCACATGATCCGCACAAATAATTAAATTTGATTGCTACATCAATTTAGTTCAGTGTTGTGCAACCGTGTCTAGTGGGCTATAAATCATACTTAAAGCCTAGTCACGTCACATCAGGAGTCATCGCCATATTTCCCGCTCATCTCTCACCAAGATACTGGTATTCAAACACTTAATACATTTCAGTTTTTCTTATCTAGCTCTAAAATATTTATGATATTTCCAATTTTCTTATCTCAACGACATAACGAAATGACGATGTCATACAAACACGGAGCATATCCTAATGGTTGAATAAATCGGCAGTTCTTCGGCCTGTCAGAGGCAGCAGGGGGTGGAGTGGGTAGGGGTAAGGGGTAAGGGGTAAGGGGTAGGGGTGCAGTCGTGCGACTGTCACGACAGGACCTGACAGTGACAGGATGACGGGGGGACGCTGTCTGACAGAGCTGTCAGCTGGGAGAGGGAGAGGTGAAGCGTCGTTAACTTGCCCCCTCTCTCTCTCTCTCTCTCTCTCTCTCTCTCTCTCTCTCTCTCTCTCTCTCTCTCTCTCTCTCTCTCTCTCTCTCTCGGGCTGAGCTAGCACAATCATGCCACCATCAAAGTGTTACATGCAGTGTCACCAGCTTGTGTAATTGCACTTGTGTACACAGTGTTACCACCATAGTGTTGACGTGGTAGTCACGCTGCGCCAAAAAAAAAAAAAAGTTCTTGGCAGGCTGAACTTGTGTGGGTATTCTGTTCTGTTCACACTGGGCCTTCCTTTCCATGAATATTCCATAGTCGTTGAGTTACCACGGTTTTTTACTAGCAACAAAATGTCCACTGTCCAGCCGCCTCCCACTGAGCCAGTCATTGGTCACACTCTCTTCTAAAGGAAGTGTTAAACATTCTCACCCACGGGCACTCGTCTCGTAGCCCGTCATACCTCAGCGTGGCTCATTGGTGATTGGAATTTCACGGTCCCACTCAGAGTAGTGCAGCACCGTCCGGTACAACCTGACCGGCGTCCGCGATCACTCAGCTCCCCATTCTCCGGGCCGGACACAGGCCACGCAAGGTCGTACTATATGACTCTCTGGTCTGCGTTCGTCTCATGTATAACTCACCTCTGGTTCATACCAATGACTGTGCAATGTGCATGGCCCTGTCCGTCTGATCTACGCTATACATACGCCCAGCCCTTACCAAAACCATGGCCGTATCGGAGGTATCAGAGGCTGCATCTTTCCTTCAACCAGCATTCTGATCTTCGGGTGACTTCCGTGACTTCGCATGCTCTTTTACTTCATATCGCGCGGTCGGCGGACCCCGTACGCGACTTGTCTGCTACGGTGAGGTACTACGCGGGTGTTGTCATAACCAGTGACTTGGTGACGTATGACGTCGTATGGCCCTGACCTACCCTATTCCGGTGATACACCCGTGACCTACGATGATGACGTTATGACCCGTGACCTACCCTACCCCAGGACCTACCGATGATGACGTCATGCTGCGTGACCTACCCCGCTCCGGTGACCTACCGATGATGACGTCATGACCCGTGACCTACCCCGCTCCGGTGATGTAGGTCAGCGTGCTGGGAAACGAGCGCTGACTGAAGCTGACCATCACCAGAAGACTGCAGGTGGCATAGGGCAGCCACCGGTACAGGTTGTCCCTGCAGTCCTCTTGGACCTGCACACATACATAGAACGCCGTGGTCAGAGAACAGTATAATGGTGGTACGCACTACGGGTGGTCAGGAGTCATATATTATGTCTCAGTAGGTATATCAAATGACAGAGCTGAATACGAATGTTCAGTCACGATGCAGCACACATGTCACCAATGGAGATCACGCCAGCGTCAAAGGTGGTAGCGGCCAGTTGCACAGTTCGAACGTTGATAGGTACCACGTACAGCCCTCAGCAGACTGCGTGGAAGGTATTCTTTTCCAACAAAACCGATAATAACTCAAAGGCTATGTTATCAGTCGGTCGCAACTCATTGCAAATAGATGCAACATGCTCCTCTCCTTCGATTGGGTCTATCACTAAGCAAAGTATGCGCATTGTGTGGCAACAAAATGCAAAAGTTTGTTTTTGGGGAAAAATAAACTTTTTTTGTAAAACTAGATGGAAAATGAATGCGATGATCAGCCCAATCTCAGGTGCGGAGTTTCACGCGTCTTTCTGTTACGAGTTCCGAGTGACCGATAGCATAGTATTCGCGTTATTCTCGGTTTTGTCGAAAAAAGAATACCTACCACGCAGTTTGCTGAGGGCTGTACCAGATAAGCTGCATAACATGCAGCACCAGGCTAAGGTAGTTACACCGCCGATTGAAATGTCACATGGGTGGCATTCTACTTCTTAATCTTAGGCTTATCCAGAAATAATTATCACTAAAGGCATCGCTGGCTCTGGGAGTTCTAACGCGTTACTGCGCCTACTACATAGCTAGCTACTTTGATCTCGTTCACACGCCCTTTGATAATATGGAAAACGGTCGTGATGGAAAAGGACTTTTCACCTTCAGTAAGGCAAGATACGTGCCAAAATCGCCTACGCAATCACCAGGCGCCGGTCATGGGCGTGGCGCGATCACTCCCGCTGACAGCATTCGATCTCCTAGAGAGATAGGCGCGCGCGGCGACACAAATCTTCCTCTAGTCTAAACATAGCAACGGTCGTGACACGGTACTGCTCAGAAATTAGCACGGCCGTGAGAACGCAGACCTACCACCAGAAAATCGGTCTGCAGCTTATATAACAATCATCCATCAGCTGTGTATATTGAAACAGTATATACAGCATGCCATGACCACTGAGTGCGCGCTTACGTTCTGGGTCGGCCGTGTGCACCTACCTCCCACCACTCGACTTCAGTCTCGTTGTCCCTCATCAGAGTGAGGTTCAGGGCGCGCCAGGCCGAGTCGGGGTCGGAGCGCGTGGGCTCCGTGAGCTCAGAGGCCAGCCCTGCCTTACCCTGAGGACAGAGAACACACAGTGAGCGCTACACAGCGGCCTGGGACGGCACAAAAGGCGTCATACATTGGCCCTCCGAGACCTTAGAGAGACCGGGCTGACCGGCAGACCAAACTGGACTGAAGTCTGGTCTCAGAGTGACATGAGTTACGTGGAAGCGAGAACACCACAAAATGGCCCCTGCAATGAGTTTTGAAGGTACGTCACACAGCCCGACACGCGAACAGAATGAGACACTAATCGACATCTCTTTGATCCCAGTTCGTTCCACTTGGCAACACTCTGCACGGTCTAAAGGTAACACAACCAACCGAAGTGCCAGGCCCAAAGAAACTAACTATTATTAGAGATTAGTATTAGAGAAAGTAAGTACACCCAAGTTGCATTTGAACAAGTTTCTGCACTCAATAGAATATGACATGAAATAGAAAATAAAAGCATACGGACGAAGGACATGAAAAACCGGTCTGTACGGCGACAACTGTTAATATGTGAGTAAAAATAAAGCTACTAAATAATAAAGCCATACTAGGGGAGAGCGGGGCCAGTTGAACCACTTTTTATATATTGACATGCACAGCGAGATCTAGTTGTCATATCGGAAAATGCACAATGCCATGAAAAAATATGCTCTTTTGGCTTTATTTTAAGATATGTAAAATTATGTTTCAAACATATTTTGCTGCCAAACGCATGCTTATAAAACAGCTCTACGCCTGTTTCAAATGACCCCGATGCGAGGGTCAATTGAACCAGCCCATGGGGTCAATTGCACCTATCCTTAACAATGGGATGTTTTCCTCTTTAAGGCCACTTTCTTAAGGAGATATTTTGTCCGGTTTACTTTTCCAAATGCTACATTCAATAGGTCGTTGGAAAGCTAAAAGTGCAAAAGTCCTCATAATAGGTGACATAAAGTACATAGACTATGGTAAAATGGGCGGATGAGAAAAATGAGAAATATCTCAGGCAATAGTGTGCTTTCAAGCAAAAGCCTGGAGAAAAAGGGGTCAAAAATTGAGCTCAATTAAACTACTATTTCAGTTTAAAAGCTCATTTCAAAGGTGGGCTATCTCCTTTAATGTTTACAGCCCCTGAACAGTAACCATTGCAAAGGTCACCGGGGTCCATTGAAACGGCCTGTGGCCCTGTTTCAACTGACCCTCAGAGAAGCGTTTCAATTGACCCCATCCGCTCCCGCCATCTCGCACGCGCCGTAAAGCACATGTCAAACGAGCTGGAGGGACGGCATCATGCTGAATGAAGGGCCAAATAAGGTGTTATTCCGGAGCCAGGAGTTCTTCTTTCAGCAAACAAAGGTATATGAGATATCACAAAATATTCATAAGAACGATTTCTCCCAAACGCCCCTCAAAAACACAAAAACAAGTGTCAAATCAAAATTACCGTCCGTTTGCCGCCCAAACGCCGTTGACAAAGGAAGTGGTCGAGCGCGGATGCGCAGTGGTGTCGGCAACGCCATATGTTGCATACTGTTGAAAATAAAGCCATGTTTCATCTGACCCCGTGTTTCAACTGGCCCCGCTCTCCCCTACTACCAATATTTCTTAAATATGTATATTTAACGAATATGCGATGAGCGCAGATGGGTTTTGTGAGGTCTTGTTGGATCCTTGCAGCGTTGTTCTGCTGCAGCTTTTGACAGATGCCACTGACGAAGGCCTCATGTCACCAAGTGACACTGACATTTGACAGCGCTGGCCTTCACAGCGCAGACACATTCGGTCCAGAGGGGTTCGAATGAAACCGTGCTGATGAGTGTTTGACTGAACCGGCATTCATACCTTCAGGACCGTTATAAATTTGGTTTGTGCACAGACCCATCTGCACTACATATATCTATAGTATGACCATGGATCATGGATTATTATCTCATCCATGGTATGACTTTGATGGAGCATGTCGCAACATTATTTTACGCAGCCCAATAAAAGTGTCCCATCCGCATGCTGGAAGCTGAGGGTGAATCTGAAATATCTGAAAACTGGGGAACAACCTGTAGTACAAAATTACGATCAATAACAGAAGCGCAGCAGAATGACCGCATCGCTTATTATCTGACCCATCACATGTCTAGCTGAATGGAAAGGCATCTCACAACAATAATAGCTCTTCATTCCGAGAATCCGCCCACCCACTGAGCTAAGGGGACAAGCACCACCTAAATTTAGCCGAGCCACGGCCGTGTTCTCACAGCAGTTAGGAACCGTGCCGCCACCGACAAACCCTCGCCGCTGTCACCGCAGCGGCTCCTGTGCCGGGAAAAACCGGTCCCGGCTGATCATGATCGGCCCGGGGAATCTAATTACAACCCGAGCGCCACTGGACAGGGAAGAAGACATCACCCGAGAGACTCCCTCCTCCCAACCCCAGAGACCGAAAGGACCGAGAAGACAGGGCGAATGATCTTCTCTTAAACCGAGCGGCCGGCATTATCAACCCCATATTCAGGGATTCTGGGAGAACTATAAGGTTGTAATGAAGTTGACATAAGACTTGCATAAACGTGAAATATGGCCATTGTCAGTATTGTTGGCATTCTGTTAGTAGGAGAAGCAGCCTTTTTTCTTTTTTTCTTTTTTCATATATATTATATATTATATTATATGAAGCAGCCTTTAATGTTGTCAAGGGGATTTATGGCACACCCAGGTCACCGCATATCCTTCCATTTTTCGAGAGAGGGGGCAATCAATAAGCAGTCCACATAGAAAATGAAAATGAATTGTAATTTAAGTTCCACCCCTTTCATCAGAACCATCCGGCGACTATCTAAAGACGACTTCTCGACTATCTAAAGAAAAAAGAAAAACAGGCATCGTTAATAATACACAATGCGCATTACACCACGAGCCCCAGTTAGGAAAAAGGACGTAAAATCCTTGATCACTGCGCAGTGCATGAGTCTCGACACTGCTCCTGCGCCGTAGGCAGGTGATGCGCATCCGATGGCCCAAAACTGACTTGTCAAACCGCTCCCTGCACAAAGCTTCAAAGTGATTAATGATGCTTGTACACCCGCTTCTAATTTTAGTTCGCGCATTCTCGTTATAAGACAGGATTGGATTTTTCGATGCTATTTTCAGCCACAGAGCCTTGAATAGTCGTGATGCTGGTGCTCTAAGCCGGTTTGGAGCGCTAATCTGGCCAAAAATAGCCGCTGGTCGCGACGTCCACCGGGCCGACCGGTTCTCCTCCCAGACCGGCCATGGCAGGGACGCTCGCGGACCGCCGAACGGCATGGGATGTCGCCCGCCGACCGGCACATGTCTCACTGATGACGACAACGGGTGACGTCATAGCTCTTCCTGCGCCACGGTCAGGCGTCAACTAATGCGCCATTCAATTCATCCCAAATTTTATGTCTGCTCATTGTATAGCCTAACGCAACGTGAAGCGACCATTTCTAGTTAATACATACTTTACGGTGCGTTCACTGGAGATTAACCGTGCGTTAATTCGAAGGTAGCCGTGCACCAATTTAAATTGGTGCACGCGCGTGCAGTGATGACTTTCTCGACTGAAGTTTTTCGGAAGGGTCATTGACTTTATTCTAGGATTTCCCATAAATGGCCCTTTTTAGTGCGCATGGACTAGGTTTAATTTTAATTTAAATTCGCACCGTTAAGCATGTATTAATTAGTTTAACACATGGTTTCCGTGCATAAATTGTTTAACGCACTCGTGGATGGAATGGAGCACTTGTGCGTTAATGCACTCGTTTCACTCGTGCATTAACACACTCGTGCTCCAATCCATCCACGTCGTGCGTTAAAACCATTTACACACGGGAAACCATGTGTTAATATATATTGTAGCTGTTACCACTGAGTTTCGATAGACGATAGACGATAGATGAGATGGACGATGAGTCTTCAATCCGATCAGCACAAAGCAGAAGCCAATCCAATGCATGTCACCTTCGATTTTACTATTAGTGCGTAATAATATAGTTGCAAGACATGGCTGACAAAAAGCCATCGACTTATCTGTAACCGGCAATCGCCGATTGAGCTCGTATATACCGGCCTTCACCACTGCACCTGGTAACCGATTAGGGCGCAGTGCGCCTGGCTAGGCTCTGCAAAACGGGCTACACAGGAGGAATTCGGGATGACCGATACGCTATCTGATTGTAAATGTGACCGCATCTCACTTATCTACAAAAATACCTCTCAAAGTTACTGGCAATCGAGCTTAGCAAGCGCGGCCTGTCAACAATCATTTAGCTGACGACCTTGTTTGAGAGAAGGCTCCACTGAGCACTCACTGCTAATCTAGCCTAGTTTGTTAATCTAATGTAACTGGCACGCAAACGCAGCAGATATAGTGAAAAACACAAATAAACAGTGTTACAAAACGAGGACTTAGACAACTTTGACAAATTCATTTATATTGCCGAAGCAACAATCAAGGTACAAAACAATACAATAACCTCAGATTCAAAATTCGAATTTTAATATCCACAAACACTCTCTGTTCTTCAATGGGGTTGGGAACTCGATTTTTTAAGAATGCATGAAAATGATCAAACTATTTTCACAGAATTTATGGTGCATACCATTGCCTCATAAAATCAATATGCTGAGAGAAATGGGGGAAGAAAGATAGGAAACTTGTTTTGAAAAGTTCTTGAAAAAAGATGCTCTTGATGCTGTTACGTCACATGTCACCTTCTGCGGTTGACAAATAATGGCGCATCTGGCGCACCACAGATTACATGTTATATCAATGGGTGAAAGATGTTGTTTGTTTCACTCTGCCATTCGCGCTGTTTTTAACTTTAAATTATGCTAAAACATTTACGGATGAAATGTTCAGTGTCAAAAATTGATGTGTCTGCCGTGTACTATATTCCCACTTAACCCTCGCCCGCACATGCCATTTTCCCATCCTAGAACGCACATGGGGGGGGGGGGTGGTTGCCACCCCCCGCGCCGTTTCGTTCCTGTTGGAGATAGAGCTTAGCGGTAAAGACCA